TTCTGTAAATTCTTTATGCAGACTCAGGTACCTTAGATCGTGGTGGTCATTAGAGAGTGCTGCTAAGATGTTGGAGACTTCAAGGTATACCTGTTGTTCCGCTCGCAGGCCTTGGAGTCACCATCTTATTTCATTTGCTAATGTTTATTGTACCCCAAACAATGATGTATTTTTGAGACGTCTTGTGTACTCTATGTATAGTTTATGACTCAGTATTATAGATTTTTGGGATTTATGACTGTTGTATTCCCATTTGGTTATATTATGGCACTTTTCAGCTTTCATTTAATATTCAAGTTGTTATATTCTATTTGATCTCTTCTTATGATAGGTTTACCTAGTCTTAGGAATTAAGTGCCATCACGACCCTTATGGTGGGATTTTAGATCGTGGCAAGTTAGTATCAGAGCTCTAGGATCATAGGTTCTACGAGTCATAAGCAACTTTATTAATTTTAGGATTTGAACCTTTGTCTTTCTACTCCTTCACATATGGTGAGGACACGAGCTTCACTTACTGATGATACTGCCCCTTGTGCTGGTGTTACTAGAGGCCGAGGTAGAGGTAGAGGCGGAGCATGTGCCAGAACAAGGGGTCGTTCTAAGGGTCGTGACTGAGGAGCCACTAGTAGCTCTGGTTTTGGGAGCAGGCACCCGAGGTGCCTGTTTCCACCCTGGACTTCAGGAGACTTTAGCGCACTTCCTGAGCATGTTTTGTACCTTGGCTCAAGCGGGATTGATCCTAGTTGCACCAGCTACTTCTCAGGTTAGGGAAGGAGTTTAGACGCCCATAGCCCATAGAGTAGCGGGCTCAAGTTGATCAGGCTCTGAGTGTTATACCCGTGTAGCCCATGATTGCGGTTCAACCTGAGGCTAGGCAAGTTGCATCAAAGGAGGAGCAGAAGAGGTTAGAGAGGTTCCAGAAGTATCATCCTCCTCATTTTAGTGGCGGAGCTTCTGAGGATGCACATGGTTTCCTAGACCTATGCCACTGTATTCTGCGTGCTATGGTCATATTGGAGTTGAGTAGGGTCGACCTAACTACTGTTCAGCTGACAGGGCCGACATATAGATGGTGGCAGACTTATGTGGCGAGTAGGCCAGCTGGCGTAGCGCCACATACATGGTTCTAGTTCACCGATCTCTTCTTGAGGGAGTTAATTCCACAGACCCTCAGGGATGCGTTGCACACCGAGCTTGAGCAGTTGTGCCTGGGGAGTATGACTGTGTTCGAATTTGCTATGAGTTCACTAAGTTATCTCGTCATGCACCTGCTTTGGCTTCCACTGTTAGAGAGAGAGTCCGTAGATTTATTGAGTGACTCAGTTATGGCCCCATATTTGGGATGGCATGAGAGTTGGAGATTAAGACTCCATTCCATTAGGTATTGGAGATTGATAGAAGGTTGGAGCGTATTTGCGGCCAGTAGAGAGAGGATAGGGAGGACAAGAGGCCTTGAGATTTTGGAGGGTTTAATGGTTCCCACTCTATAGTTTTAGCTCATCATGGCAGAGGGTTTATCAGTCGACCAGACCATTCTGTACTTCTTCTTACTCGTGGTGCTCTAGCTAGTCGGGGACCTTAGTGTAGTCATAGTGGACAACCATCTTTCAGTGCACCTTCTACACGGAGTTCCTACAACGGCTATTCTAGTCATTTGGGGCAGACTCAGTACTAGCAGTCACGTCGTAGAGAGGTTATTTTGAGTGTGGTGGTACTAGGCACATGGTGAGGGATTGTCCCAACTTCAGAGGGGTGGACCTCTGCAGGGTACTCAGGCTATGGTTTCTACTCAAGCTGCTAATCTACCTGCATAGCCAGCTAGAGGTGGAGGATAGGCGGGTAGAGGACGCCATAGAGGTAGAGGCCAGGCCTGTTATTATGAATTCCTTGATAGGACTGAGGCAATTGCATCATATGCTAATCATTACAGGTAATGTTCCGGTTTGTCATAGAGATACATCTGTTTTATTTGATCCGTGTTCCAATTATTCGTATGTGTCATCTTATTTTACTTCATATTTGGACATGTCTCGTGATTCTTTGAGTACTCTTGTTTATGTGTCTACACGCATTAGGGATTCTATTATGGTATACCGGGTCTATCGTTCTTGTTTGGTCACCATTGGGGGCTATAAGACTAGGGTTTGACCTTGTGTTACTTAATATGTTGGATTTTGATGTGATTTTGGGGATAGATTGGTTGTCACCATATCACACTATTATTGATAGTCACGCTAAGACTGTGACGTTGTCTATGCAGGGGTTGCTAAGGTTGGAGTGGAGAGGTTCATTGGGTCATGTTCCTAGTAGGTGGTGTCTTTTCTAAAGGCTTGGTGGATGGTTGAGAAAGGGTATTTGGCATACTTAGCCTTTGTGAGGGATGTTAGTACTGATACTCCTACCGTTGAGTCAATATCGGTAATGAGTGAGTTTCTAGATGTGTTTCCAGTAGACCTGCCGTGCATGCCACCCGATAGGGATATTGATTTTGGTATTGACTTGGTGTCGGGAACTCATCCCATCTCTATTCCATCATATTGCATGGCACTAGTAGAGTTGAAGGAATTGAAGGAACAACTTCAGGAGTTGCTTGATAAGGGTTTCATCAGATAGAGTGTTTCACCTTGGGGTTGCTCCAATTCTATTTGTGAATAAGAAGGAATGTTCTATGAGGATGTGCATTGTCTACATGAAGTTGAACAAGGTTACCGTCAAGAATAAGTACCCACTATCGCGGATTGATGATTTCTTTTATCAGCTTCAGGGTGCTATGGTATTCTCGATGATTGACTTGAGATCAGGGTACCGTCAGTTAAAGAAGGCTTCAGATATTCCAAAGACGGCTTTCAAGACCCGTTATGGTCACTATGAGTTTTTAGTGATGTCTTTTGGGCTGACCAATGCCCCAACAACTCTCATGAACTTAATGAACATCGTGTTTAAGCCGTATCTGGATTCCTTCGTCATTGTGTTTATTGATGATATATTAGTGTATTCTCGCAACCGAGAGGATCATGAGTAGAACTTGAGGATTGTGCTCTAGACTTTGAGGGAGAAGAAGCTATATGCTAAATTCTCCAAGTGCGAGTTTTGGCCAGATTCGATGGCATTCTTGGGTCACATGGTATTCAGTGAGAGGATCAAGGTGGATCCAAAGAAGATTGAAGTTGTTCAAAGTTGGCCGAGACCTTCTACCGCTACTAAGATCCGGATATTTCTAGATTTGGGAGTGTATTATCACCGTTTTGTGGAGGGTTTTCATCCATCGCTGCTCATTTGACTAGATTGACTCAGAAGGGTGCCTTATTCAGGTGGTCTGATGAGTGTGAAGAGAGTTAAGAATCTCAAGACTGCCTTGACTACAGCTTCAGTTCTGGTTTTACCTTCAGTATTGGGTTCATATACAGTCTACTGTAATGCTTCACAAATTGGCACTGGGAGTGTGTTGATGTAGGAGGGTAGATTGATTGCTTATGCTTTGCGTCAATTAAAGCCCCTTGAGAAGAACTATCCAGTGCACGATTTGCAGTTAGCAACCAATGTTCACATGCTCAAGATTTGGAGGCACTATCTTTACGACTGTCTTGTGAGGTGTTCACGAATCACAAGAGTCTTCAGGACTTGTTCAAACAAAAGTATCTGAGCTTGAGGCGAAGGATGTGGTTAGAGATACTAAAGGACTATGATATCATCATTCTTTATTATCCCAGGAAGGCTAATGTGGTGGCCGACGCTTTGAGTAGGAAGGCCGAGAGCATGGGGAGTCTTGCTTTCATTGTTGTTTGTAAGAGACCGTTAACTTTGGATTTTCAGGCTTTGGCCAACAGGTTCATGAGGTTGGATGTTTCGGAGTCTAGCAGGGTTCTTCCTTGAGTGGTTTCACTATCGTCTTTATTTGAGCGCATCAAGGCATGTCAGTATGATAATCCACACTTGCTTATCCTATGGGACACGGTGCAATACCATGATGCCAAGGAGGTGACTATTAGTGATGACGGGGTATTGAGGCTTCATGGCCGGATTTGTGTGCCTAATGTAGATGGGTTGCAGGAGCTGATTCTTGAGGAGGTCCATAGTTCGCGGTATTCCATTCATTTGGGAATCGCGAAGATGTACCATGATTTGAAACAACACTACTGGTGGAGAAGAATAAAGAAATATATTGTGGAGTATGTGGCAAGGTGTTTGAACTGTCAATGTTGACACTCAATTTTGACCCTTTGTATTTAAAATTAACTTTTGTAGGCTTCTAGTCAAAAAATGATAAAATGTAGTTTTTTGCACATTAATTTGCTTAAATGCAATTTATTGATAATTATTTATATTTTCACAAAATATAGGAATTTTTATCATTTTATTGCAGTTAGTTAAATACTACAACTTTCATGCACTTTTCTAAAATTCAAATAATTTATTGATAATTGTCCTATTTTCAAAATATTAGGATTTTTCTATCAATTTATTATCCTTTATAAAGTAAAATAATAATTACTATAATATTTTTGTAGTAGTTAGCATTTTAACAAATACTACAAGCCATATTTTTTAATTAAATAATTATACTTTAATTTGTAGCACAATCTATTAATTACATGGAAACCAATAAAATATATTTCAAAATACGAATCAAATCCTTTCAAATCCAATGTCCTGTCAATATCCGATGTGATAACACAAGTAATGTGATATGGCAAGTGATGTGACATGACATCATGATATGACAAGTCATATCGATGTGACTTGACACCTTTTATCCAATGAGTAAAATCTTCTACCCAATGTGTAAAGACCATTGGGTTGTCTTCTCCCGTAAGCTAAATAAAATTGGATATACATATGTACATAGACAAATAAAAGAGTTACATGATATTGAGCCCATGGTTTTAAGACAGTGGTTTTACTCTTGACCACATGTTTTGGTTTTACATTATCTTTTATTTTTTGACTAAATGAAGAGCACATATTTTATACATGTATTCATTATATAAATGATCACACACAACACAATAAAAGGTGGAGATGTCAGATTTTAGAAGGGGCCTAATTATTGGCCACTTTTCTCTTCAAAAAAATGGGCAGCCGCCCAAGCTTTCTTTGTTCTCTCTCAAGCGTGCGGACGACACTGGCCAAAGTCCGGACACACCATGGACTGCGACCACTCTCCCAAAAACCCCCCACTCTCTCTTCTCTTTCATTTGTTTCCCCTACATCACTGACCAACACTGGCGAAGAGTAGTAGCGGACGACGATGATGCCAGACAAGTAAAAGCTTGAGATCTGCCGGTAAAAGCTCCGGTCAGATTACTGCTGCTCCATTTTCTCCCATTCTCCCCATTTCTTCTTTCATTTTGTCCATGGGTTAATCCCAGATCCATGAAGATCTGTGTCCCAAAAATGTTTCCCAGATAATGCTGAGTTGTAGCTGCTCGTTTGTTGCTCTGCTATGGTCGTTCCGGCGTTAACGTCGTTGTGGCAACGCCCTTGGCTCAGCCGCTGTATAAGCAGTGATTGTTTTCTATGCGGCATGTGTTGCTGCCTTTGTTTGTGGTTGGGTAGAGCTTTTTTCCGGCGACCTTCCATCTCTACCCAGACATAAATTTCTGGCGACCTTTAGTTTGGCCGGAAAATTGGCCAGCGACTTTGTTTGTACTTTAGTGTTGTTTCGGTGTTTATCGCCATGGTAGCAACTCCGTCTCCGGACGTTAATTGTGGTATGTGATTATGGCCTTTCTTTTCTCTAAATCTAGCCGGAAACTCAAAACTCCGATGACTTATGTGTTTTCCGGTTACTGTTTCGCCGCCTTGATGTTTGACTGTTGTGGCTTATGTTTTAGTTCTTTCGACCACCAGAAATATTTTAAATGCATCCAGATTTGGATTTTAGTTCTCTACTACACTCAGATTTTAATTCTTTGCATTTCTGTTGGCTTTTTTTTTAGGTGGCCGTCCGTCTGCTTTGCCGTCAATGCTCGGGAACTTGTTTCCACATATAGCAGCATTTTGGACCTTAACTTTGAGATTCATATGGTAACACCTTTGTTACTGTTGGTTGTTTTACCTATGGTGCCTCATTTGGTTGTTTTACCTGTGGTAACACCTTTGTTACTGTTGGTTGTTTTACATATGGTGCCTCATTTGGGAAAAGGATGCTTGGTTACTGTGCTGTACATGTTGAACGATATTACACTGTTGATTTTGAGGCCGATGAAAAAATAACCTCTTGAGTTATTTAGGCCACAACCTTTCGATTGTCCCTCCGAGCCGTATCCGAAATAACGAGGCGGCGATGATAAACATCGGAAAGGTAAAGACAAGAACGTGATAAACAAATAACCTTTGGACAACGATGAGTTGAGCTACTGTAATCGCACAGCGGTTCCCGTTCTCGTATCTAGAAGAAAATCAAAATACATCCGAGCCTCAAAATAATTTTTCGAGTGTGTTTCAAAAATGTTTTAGAATTTGGACTTGTTTCAAAAATGTTTCAAAATGTTTCGAGTGTGTTGCAAATGCGAGCACCAGTTCACATTTGTGAATACCACATTTTTGAAGGAGCTATCGCATTTGTGAAGGGGGGAAAATGGATGTCAGGCTTCGCAAATGCGGAATGGGTCTGGGCTGGGGACATGTCGCTTTTACGAAGGGGCTGACATCACATTTGATATGTTTAGGTTGCTATTGCGATATCCCTGGGGTCTGACAGGGTTCGCTTTTGCGATCCTTGTGTCGCATTTGCGAACCTCAAGTTGCAAATGCGACATCTACGACTAGGTTAAAAGATTGAATTTCGGGACTTAGTTTCATTTTATCAAATTTTGAGCCCTAGATTCGGTGGGAGGCAATTTTAGGAGGGAATTTTCATACAAAGCTATTCGGTAAGTGATATTGACTCAATTTTGATATTATAACATGATTATTTATGAATTTTAACATCAAAATCATGAAATTTGAAAGGATATTTTGGGGATCTTTGATTATGTTTTGAAAAATAAAAATTTGAGATTTGAGAATCGATTTGGACTCGGATTTGAAAATCAAACATATATTTGGACTCGTAGGGTTGTGGATAGTCGAGATCTACCTCTCGACTCGGGTTTTGATCGGGCAGACCCGGGGTTGACCTTTATTGAATTTTTTGAAAATGTGTAAAGATATTAATTTTATCAATTGAAATTGTTTTCTCTTGTATCGTTTGATATTATTAAGTCGTTTTTGTTAGATTTGAGACGTGCGGAGGTGAATTTGAAATCAAAAGCAGTTTTAGAGTATTGATCGGGGCTATTTGAGGTAAATATCTTGTCTAACTTTGTGTGGGAAAATCACCCCTTAGAATTTGGTTTAATTTGCATTATTTGTGCTATGCGAAACGATGTGTACATGACATGATGAGTATGTCACGGGCGTATGTGTGATTTGAGGCAGGATTAGACCTTAGTCTATTAATATACCTTGAATTGGGGTTGTTTGCTATATGAACATGCCTTATGTTGAATATTCCCCGCACCCTTATATGTTTGTCATGTTATTGTATCTTGTTGTGAGCTGTGGGCTATATCTTGATGTGATTTGGGGATATTGTTGCTTTTGTGATATTGTGGCCTATGTGGGCTTATTGTACGTGTTGATTATTGTGGTGTGGAGTATAAGGGTAGCGAGATGTGCATGTGGCGGCATAATGGTGTTGTTTATTGATGCGCATGCGGCGAGATAAGGGGGCTTATGTGCGTGTAGCAATATAAGGGAAAATATTTTAATGTGATGCTCACGCAACAACATAAGGGTGGCTTGTTGATGATGTTATGTGGTATTTCAAGGTGATCCTTCTATGAATCTGAAGTTGTTTCCTTAACCTCTCTGATACTGAAATGTAGAATCCAAAATGATATAGAAATACCACGAGTCACGACACCTTCCAATGCAAATCTCAGCTCTTAGCCACATACAAATCCGGGAAATCCTCAAATACCACATATGAAGCTTGAACTCATTAGAATTTTCTCGGAAGTCGTCCACTCTGTTCAAATCCCCAGCGCACTGTTGATACGAGCCAAACAACTTGTACTTCATTAACACACAAATACCTCCAGAAGTAACCCACATCCCTAAGCACCCGAGTGAATCCCTACTCTCTGCATACTAACACCACCACGAATAACAAACCCGAATCACTCATAGATTTCCATATATCTGTGAAGTGTAATTCATCATGCATTCATAATTTTCCTTACGACATCCTTTAAAAAACCCTCTTCAAGTCATAACTGATCCACAAATATGCCTCATGCCAAAACTAATGTAACACATAACCATGCAACCTGATCGTCAAGAGCAGACTGCACCAATTAGCTCAAAGCCATAGAACCCAACATCCGCTAACCCACAGTTCCCTTACTCCATTACTGCCATAATCCCGCACTGTAATTCAACAAAATCATTCGTAAGCTCATGTAACACAAATCATAAAATACCTCAAATCATCTGCTAAGCTCACATTCGTTCTCGTGATAGTCAAGCCAACTTCCTCAAGCGATCCAAACTCAAATTGCAACACATATAACCCACTGGTTGAAAGAAACTCCCCACAAAATCATCATAAGGATCACACATTCGTAGACCACCCCACAAGAGATAACCCACCTACTTAGCCTCAAACTGGCATTTCACTACGCACTAAAATGGTCATAACTACTATGGTCATAACTCATCAGCAAGACATAAGAATCTACTTCATCCCACAAATGAACAACACGAAAGATCCCTGCGGCGTGCATCCCGATCCCACTGCGGCGTGCATCCCGATCCCATAACTGTCATTCATACCCAGGCACTCGGCCTTACTTAGTCATCAACCTCTCTAGTCTCACCACGGGCTCACAATGTCATGGAAACAACCAAGAACAATGATATGATGAATCAATAATTAACTGAGATCGACCGCTACGGGTATAAACAATACCGACACAAAGCCTAAACATGATATCTAGCATGATTTACAGTTCAACTACTTTATATCATGATGAAAACATGGATATCAACAGGATAGAGTCACTAAACGGTGCCATGGAATCACCCAGGTCATAATTCTCACGGTGCACGCCCGCACGCCCGTCACTTGACGTGTGCGTCACCTCAATACCAATCACATAACACATAACTTGGGGTTTCGAACCCTCAGAACCAAGTTTGAAAGCGTTACTTACCTCAATTCAAGCAAAGTCCTACTCCGAAATGCCCTTGCCTCTTAATTCGTCCTCCGAACATTCCGAATCTAGCCACAAGTAATACAATATCAATATGGGCTAAAGGAATCAATTCCATATGAAAATTACCAAATTAGACTCAAAACCCGAAATTGGTTCAAGCCTGGCCCCCGGGACCACGTCTCGAAATCTGACAAAATTTACAAAACTAGATAGCCCATTCACTCATGAGTCCATACATACAAAATTTATCCAAATCCGAAATCATTTGGTCTCTCAAATCCTTAATTTAAACTCTCTAAAATCCCAAGCCCTAACACCCTATTCACTTTAAACTCCTAATTAATAATGAACAAGCTATAGATTCACGAAATTTATACCATTATGGGTTAGAATCACTTACCCCAACATTGCTCTTTGAAAACTTTCGAAAAATCGCCTCTCCTGAGTTTCTCAAATCCAAAAATTGAAAAATGAAGACAAAACCACGATCTGGGGCTTTTTTACCCAGCAATATCTCACCTGCGGCCCCTTTTTCCGCTTCTGCGACGCCACACCTGGGAAATTTCAATCGCAGTTGCGGAACTCACTCAAGATCCCAGGTTCCGCATCTGCGGCCAACCTTTCGCACCTGCGCAAAATTCTCCGCATCTGCAAAGCCAGTCATGTCCTTCCCTTCCGCATCTGCGCCCCAGGTCTCGCACCTGCGGGCTCGCCCTTCGCAGGTGCGGAAATACCAGTAGCAATAGCTTCAGCTGCATTTTCCAACTTCAACCAATCCGTTAAGCACACGGAATCACTCCGAGCCCCTCGGGACCTCAACTAACCATACCAACAAGTCATATATCAACATACAAACTTAGTCGAGCCTTCGAATCACTCAAAACAACATCAAAACATCAAATTACCCTCGGATGCAAGCCTAAGAACTTCTAAACATCCGAATTTCACAAATGACACTGAAACCTACCGAACCACATCCGAATGACCTCAAATTTTACACACCCGTTACAAATGACACCATGAACCTACTCCAACTTTGGGAAATCCATTCCGACCCCGATATGAATTTTCCACTGCCGACCGAAATCACCCAACTTCCAACTTTCGCCAATTCAAGCCTAATTCCACTACGGACCTCCAATTCACATTCCGGATGCGCTCCTAAGTCCAAAATCACCTAACGGAGCTAATAGAACCATACAAATTCCAATCCAAGACCGTTTATACATAAGTCAACATCCGGTTGACTTTTCTAACTTAAGCTTCTACTTAAGAGACTAAGTGTCTCAATCAACTCCGAAACCACTTCGGACCCGAACAAACTAACCAGGTATAACACAATATAGCTGAAGGACACAGAAAGAAGCAGAAATGGGGGAAACGGGGCTATAACTCTCGAAATGACTGGCTGAGTCGTTACAGGCTCATAGCTCACAGAAACATAATCTAATTATATAACCCGAAATATCACAATATGCCTTAAATACAACTCAAACTCGTGTCACGTACAAGGACATCAATAACATGTGAAACAACATATCAAAAGTGCAAAGAGACAAAGATATAATATGCAGATGTAACTATCATGACTGTAATGTATGAATACAGTTAAGGCAAATAGCTCAACATAGCAAAAATAGCCCTAACATGTCTCAAACAACTAAGCAGATAGAGTAGACATGATTTCTAGCATAAATAATAACTTACGTAGTCATTCAAATGAGAAAAACATGATATCAAAGAAGCATGATATCAAAATAAGGCACATAATAGCCTACGAACTACCAGGATCATGAATACCTTGATGCACGCACACACGCCCATCACCTAGCGCGTGCGTCACCCCGAACACATCTCAAATATCATAGTTCTCAGGGATAATTACCCTTAAATCCAAGTTTAGATATCTTACTTACCTAGAACAAGCCAAATCAAATATCTAACAAGCCAAACAATACTCTAGAAATGCAATCCCACATGAATCAACCTTCAAACGGGTGAAAACTAGCTAAAAGCAACTCAATAACATCAAATAATGCCTAAGGAAACAAACCCAAGAGATAAATGTCGAATCTTTAATCAAGAACTCAAAGTCAACCAAAAAGTCAACCCAGACTCGCAGCTTGGAACCCGACAAGACTTACAAATTCTGACAAACTATTTGAATACGAGTCCAACCATACTAATTTCATCTAATTCTGACTCCGAAACGATGTTCAAGACTAGATTATTCTCTTTGAAAAAGTTTTTGATAAAAAAATCCACAATTCTCCATTCAAAACTTGGATTAATTCATAAATAAACTAGGGTAATCATATTAAAATACTAAAATTAAGGTTATATACTGACCCCCTGAAAAGATAAGAAGAACGCCGCGAAAAGCACCTCAATCGGAGCTCTAGAATGCAAGATATGCTCAAAATACCAAATGAACGCAGTCTGATTTTTTTATACATAGGAATTTCTGCTTTTGCGCCCAAAAAGCCGCACCTGCGGTTTCTTGCTATCATTTCCGTTTTTGTGGACCACTTTTTGCACTTGCATGTAGGGGTGTTCATAAAAACCCGAAAAACCGAACCTAACCGAAAATCAAACCAAATCGACCAAAAAACCGATATTTTTAGGTTTGGTTTCGTTTTGGTTTTAAATTTTAAAAACCGATCAAATTTGGTTTGGTTTTGATTTTAATAAAAAAATAATTGAAAAAACCGAACCAAACCGACTATAAAAGTAGCTATTTAAATTTATTATTACACCTATATATATGTATATTTTTATATAAAGTTTCTAAAATTTTATGGTACATATTAGTCATTTATATTTTTAGTCTAGTTTTTTGCTAATAAAATAATCTGATTCTTTGCCTTCTAGTTTGATTGGTAGTTTTCTTTTACTAAGTATTAGAATTTATTTCATGTTAAAAATAATTAATTTTTAATTGAGTACTTAAGTTATTCATCACTATTTGAGTCAGTTATTATCAATATATCTTAGTAAATGATAGATTTTTCGAAGAGCAATTGGTTTGATAGTGTTACGTTGAAAATGTAGTCGCCGGAATATGCGTTTGGTAGTGTATGTCTCATATTTAAGAAAAAACCGACAAATAACCGAAAAAATCGAAAAACCAACAAAAATCGAATCGATAAAAAACCGATTTAATTTGTTTGGTTTGGTTCCAATATTTGAAAAACCGACTTACTTGGTTTGGTTTCTTTTTAGGGAAAAACCGACCCAAACCGAACCATGAACACCCCTACCTGCATGATCGTAGATGCGGACCTCACTTCGCATCTGCGAAGCACCAACAACAACTAACTTCTCGGGCACTAAAATGGGCATAACTCCTTCTTAAGATGTCCAAATTCGAGGATTCATTTTGCTATAGCCCTAGTAATTACGATAATGATCTAATGCTTCAATCAAAATAGAATTTGGATCTTATTTTCTTAATGTGGTACCATTTATGCTTGAAGAAACGACGACGAAACAAAAAAAACGAACGCAACACCACCCAATCCTTTTCGAAACTCACCCGAGCCCCTAAAAATCCTGTCCGAACATACCAATAAGTACCAAAACATAATACGGACCTACTCGATGCCTCAAATCCCATATAGCAACATCAAAACCACGAATCGCACCTCAAATCAAACTTAATGAACTTTTGAACTTTCAACTTCCAAAACTCGCGCCGAACCATATCAAATCAACTCGGAATGACCTCAAATTTTGCACACACGTTTCAAATGACATAACGAACCTCTTCCAACTCCCGGAACCTCACTCCGAACCTTATAACATCAAAGTTAATTCCCGGTCAAACCTATGAACTTTTCAAACCTTCAAATTGTCAACTTTCACTAGTTTGCGCCAAAACCTTCTAGAATCATCTAATTGCAAATTCGGGCATACGTCCAAATCCAAAATCACCATTCACAGCTTTATGCAAGAAATGAAATATGCTCAAACCCACTGGGAAAATGATACAGTAACAGACCTCCTCACTAACTTTATCTTCTTTTTTGCAGGTTTGAGCTGACTTAATTCACTTGACCTTTCGAAGTGTATTGTATTAGAATCCATGATGCTCTATCTGCTGGGAAAAGGCCAGTGTTTTAAGCCAAGCCTTTCTCTAATAGAGATGAAAAAGATTAGAAACCACTAGGTTTGCCATTTGGCATACACATCACACCACATCACTTGACCATCATAAACTAATTCTAAACCTTAAAGGCCACAGGATGAGCAGCTACTTGAACCATTTACATCCAGTATACACTCAGTCCATGAAACTCAACTCATCACACCCACAATTATCACCACAAAATCCCAACAAGAACACACAACCTTCATCTCAACCCCACATCTTCCACCCACCTACACTCTTTCATAACTATAGAAGTAATTATACCCTCCATCAGGATCATCTACTTCACTTTCTCATTGGCAACATATCCCTCTTCCCAAAAGTTCTCAGAAGATACAAGAACCTGAGAACACACACTCATAATCATAAGAAAAGACCCTGTTATTTCACTAACTCCGTTTTCTATTTTGAAGGTACTATTTCTTATGATCTCCTCCACCTCTTGATATACACTCATTGTGTGGTATTAACATTTTCAATACTCATTCCACTGAGGGTTAATCAAGGGTGCAAACATTGCCAATCCTCAGACACACACAACCTATCATGCCCAAAGCAATGCAGTTGGAAATTGCTAGTCAATATTATGTGCCCATATTTATTCTTTGAACATGGTAGAAACAGAATGGCAACTCCAAAATATCTAACTGATCCTCCTAGAAACTATATTAGAGAGCCTAAAAATCCATAGCTCCATTTTCTAAATTGGGGTTAAACTCAATTATGCTCTCACATAGGCTATCGGTTACTACCAAATCACCATGCAATCTTCAGTACCATTCCTCGTCTCCCCAGCTGCAACCTACAACCTTGACCAACTCTCAGAATCCACAAGAACCTGAGAGCATTGCCATATTTGATCAACAAAAGGTCTCAGGGCAGTAATGCCCAAAGCTTGCAGCACCCCTGCATCACTAACTGTAGTGCCATAGTTTTTCTTCCCAGAAAAAGGGGCAATGGTACTCTTTTAATACTAACTTGTTTGTTGTTTTTTGTAGGTACATTAACTAGGTATAGAACTCTGAACCGCTCACTCTCAATGTGTGGTATCAACATCCCAGATGCTCAGTCTGTTATGAGTGCATCAAAGTTCTTGGACCTACCCTTCTGATCATGTAATACAAACACACACATCACATTCAAACAACAATGATACATGAAAAAACCACTACATCAGGACAATAGTTTCAGCAATATCTCATGGACTCATCAGTGCTCTGGTTCACATGCCATATGAACACACTATTGAGAACTGGTTATGGGCACATCAGAGTCTCTACAACAGCCAGTCACAACCACCAATGCAGTGCTCCATCTCTTCTGTCATGGACACAAAACACAGACAACTCATTGTTCTTCATCTTTTGGACATCTATATGCTTCTCTTCAACCCGACTTTCCTTGTTGGCAATGCTAAAGCTATGATGAAGATAGGTTCCTGGTGTTATAGAACTAACCCCATTCTTGGATGCATATTCTTTTATTGTCACTTCATTTGGGATAATTTGTCCAAACTTTAGATATAGTTCCTCCTATAAGTGGAAAGAGTCTATCCAAATTTTTTGCGCAGTTGACCTAGGTTACTCTTATTTTTGGAGTCCATTTGCTTACCCAATATGGATAGGCATATGGTACCATCTTATAGGTCTAAATTCACTTATTGTACATGATTCAATTGAGGGTCTTTTTTTAAACTATCAATTGATTATCCACCATAGGTTTGGAAGTAAGGTTCTGTCCCCCTCCGATGGTGTAAATATTGGTTTCATATTTATAAAAACTAGCCCTAGGTACAAAGCCTAGTGGTTTTATAAAAAAAAATAAAAAAAATCACCGTTCCTACCTAACGGTACAGTCAAAACTCCGATCAAATATACAAAAGCCAAACTTGGTCAACTTTTCTAATTTAAAGGTTCCTATTTAAGAATCATTCTCTAAAATCAATTCCGAACAACTCGAAGACGAAAATTGATCATACACGTAATTCGTAATACATCATATAAAGCTACTCAAGACCTCAAATCGCCGAACGATATGCCAATGTCCAAAATGGCCGATCGGGTCGCTGTAGATTTATACCTCAAATTGAGGTCTAATTTTGAAATAAATTACATATCCGGGCTCGAGGGGTGAATAGGTAATCAAGATTTGGTCTTAATTATGAATTTCGACCACGTGAGTCCGGGTTGACTTGTTCACTTATGTTAAAGATTGAACCTTTTTCATTCGAGGGTAGTTTATAAAGCTTGTTTTAACTTGTTTGAATAATATTTGACTAGATTCGATTGGTTTGGAGGCTTGTTCTAAAGGAAAAGCCGTGTTGGATTGTTTATTGTGTTCCTAAAAAGAGATAAGTGTCTTGTTAACCTTGATTTAAGGAAAATTGGGTAGAATCGAGTCAATTTGCTGTGTGATCTATGTGTTTGGAGGCGTATATGCAAGGTGAAAAGTGTATATGCATTGGCCATGGGATAAGCATGCAGGTAGAATTATCCCTATTTGTGCCATGTTATTTGTGTATCATGTTTTCCATACTATAGATATATTATTTAATTCTTTAATTTCTTGTATTCATGTTACTCTTCTATGTTGAGATTATCGAGATATTGGTGCTGAGATTGTTGAATAGTTGATTGGTTGTTGATGCTAATTGTTGGAAGATTCTCATGTGACGAGTTGTGTTCAAATACTATGGTTGATGCTAAATTTGCTTCCTACCTTGCTTGGTAATGTGATGTGTGTGATTGCTTGGTGAGGAAGAGTGAAATGCACGAAGGGTGTTGCCGTGCTTGTGAGGAAGAGTGAATGTGCATGAAGATTGTTTCCGCGCCTTATTTATATATTGATATTATTGCTTGAGTGAACGTGAGGACATGCAAGAAGGGTGTTTCCGTGCTTGTTAGTATTTTATTATGTAAGGATGAGAGTAAAAGTACGAAGGGTGATACCGTGCAATTATTTTTACAATATAATATGAGGATGAGAGTAAAAACACGAAGGGTGATGCTGTGCAATTTTGTTAATTTCATTGCTCTTTACTTTGATATTTGGAATGTGGACTTGGCTTTGTGTTTACGTTATTTACTTTTGGAGGGGGCTCACTCTGTGACACTTTACTTTATGTTTTCGTTTTATGCCCCTTTACTTGTGTACTTGTTATCCATTTTACTTGTCATTACCTCGTTGTTATATTTGATGCTTTATCTATTATTTCATACTTCTTGATATATAACTGCATCGGTTTATTAAGGTGTCTTGTCTTATCACTACCCCGCTGGGGTTAGGCTCAACTTACTAAGTACATTGAGTCGGTTGTACTCATGCTACACTTCTGCACTTCTTGTGCAGATTCGCACATCGGTACCAGCGAAGTCCCGAGAGGTTCTTAGCGGATATCGGGCAGGTGATTCGAGGTAGAGCTGCATTCCATTCGTAGGCCTAAGAGTCATCTTCTTATTTCTATTGTAATGTTTCTATCTTTCGTACAATGTTGCGCTTCTTTCAAGACAATGTATTTAGTAACTCTAGAAGCTCATGTTCGCACATCTTGGGATGGTTTGCGTTAGATGTTGGTTTTAGACTTATCATGTTTATTTCAGAATTACTTTTACGCTATGTTAGTATCCTGTTGTTAGGCATTTATTGCAGTTCTTTTGTATTTTACTGCTGTGTGTTGGCTTGCCTATCAAGCGGTGTTAGGCGCCATCACAACTCCGATTGATTGGAATTTTGGGTTGTGACAGTTCCTTTGAAAAGCTCAAACAAGTATACGACACGTGAGAAAACACATGGAAGCCTGACAATTCAATTTTGGCGCATAACATTGAAGGGTAGAATTGTCCATACGATCTTGAACTGATATAAAATCTTCTTACCTGTTTTTCAGCTCCCATCTCGACTTCGAAAAGAAGAGACTCCATTGTTGACGCAAAGGCAAGGTAGGAAGAGTAACACAAGATTAAAGAGCTTTTCCTGGATTTTTCTTCTTTTATGGGTTCTACTTTATTTTATACATTGGATTTTATCTCTAGAACGATTGTAGGATAATTTTCCATTACTAGGATTTTGATGAACCCTTTGTTGAGAGAGTTTGAATAACTCGTTTGAATTCTTGATATCATATTCTATTTATTTGACTGCACCTTTATTGAATTTATTTGTTGAGCTCACAATTGTTTCTACCATCATTCTTGGTTGATCTTAGAAAAAACTCTCAAGTTTGGGACATTCAGATAAAAATATTTGAGGTTAATTACGAGATTAATTAAATTAATTTAAAATTATTCTAGGAATATTACAATTTATTTGCAACCCTAAACTGGATAGATATTAATGGTCTTGAATTATTTTGAAAACGGAGATCAAGAACAATATTGCTAGTGATTGAGAAATTCTAGCAATGGAATCTATACCCAAGGGAAATAGAATCACATCAAGTGCATTGTCACGATCCAAAATTTGGACATAACGTAAATAAAGCATAAATACATCTCAATTTAATAATACCAAATGCGAAAAAATCCAACAACTACCAAAATTTGGTAGTACAAAGTCATGAGCTACTAAGACGAAACACAAATGAGCCTCACAATACAAGAGTATTGTCTAGAATACGATAGACAACATAAAAAGAAAGAAGGGGATTTTGGGTTGCGGATCAAGTATGACAGCTCACCACGAAATTTTCGAGATGTAACTACTAAACACCTTCCTGAACATCGCTGGGTCCAGTCTCAATATTTGTACAAAAATATACAGAAGTATAGTATGAGAATAATTACAATGTGTACTCAGTAAGTATTACGTCTAATCTCGAAAAAGTTGTGGCAAAATTTTAACAAAAGTATAATACTCACCTTCACAACCTAAGCAGTTCATAATGGCATGAAAATGTAGAATTTAGCCAAGAACATCAAATATAGCATCAAGGTGTACAAATAAGAGATAGGATAAGCATACTTCTAAAACAAGATAACCAAAGCATAATTCAATATACATGTTTGCACATAAAAATGATATGCACCAAGTAGCATCTATATGAATACTTCTAGATGAGTCTAGGATAATCATGCATGCTCAAGACTCAATCATAACCAATATCCAACACATCTCATGTGCTCCAATATGATCCAGCACATCCCATGTGCTCTAACTCGATACGTGTATCACTTGCGCTCAAAGAGCCTAATGTAACATAGGTAATCACCTAACTTCGGAGGGAACATATCCATATCCAAGCACGGCATAGAAACACATCGTGCCATAACATAACAATATCATAATAACCACATGACATGAACCATCGTGCCATAACAATATCAATCCGCTCATAATGTCCCAATGTGCCATAACCGTATCAATATGTGTCAAGATCTCCATCTCTAAGGATGTATGCATATGCTCAAGAAATAAATAATAAGATGCTCAAGGACATAATAAATAAAAATGTAGATGTGTGCTCATGATATAAATTATGACTACGACTAAATCAAGTATATCAACAATCTCAAAAATAGCCCATCATGCCCAAATAAAATATCATAAGCTAAAACATTATTTATATCATGAATAAATAGGCCGATATAGTTATACAATCTAATAACGCACAATCCAAGAAGAACAACTAACCAAACAAATCATGAAAAAGCCTAAAACTACCCAAAATATGGTATAGCCTTGGTGTACGTATATACGCTCGTCACCTTGTATATATGTCACCCAAAATCATGTAGCTTGTAACAAGTGTGTCCAATTTGCAAAAAATATTTCTCTTAACAAGGTTAGACATGAAACTTACCTTCTGCTGGAATAGCTTCAACCCTCAAATACCGTTTTTTCTTTGAAATTCTCCTCCAAACGTTCTAAATCTATCCATATAATACTTAATAGGTTCAAATAAGGTCATAGAAATCAATTCCTAACAATAAAGCTTCATTCTTTAATCAAATCTCAAAAGTCAATAGAAAGTTAACCTCGACCCACATAGTTAAAACCCAAGTCCAAGGTTAATTCTGGTGACCCATACCCCACGAGTCCAAATAAATAATTGGTTTTCAAATATGAGTCCAAATCGGTACTCAAAATCTTAAAATGCACCCTCTTAAGTTGTGGACAAAAACTCAAAATTTTACTCTTAAAATTCGCGTTTTAGGTGTAGAAATCCAAAATTAAAATACATGATCAAATCCAAGTAAAAATTACCTACTCTCAAGATTTGAGTGAAAATCCTCTTCAAAATCTCCTTATTCCATTCCAAAACTCAAAAATGGAGAAAATGAGCTAAATCTCGACTTCAAAGAATCTGACAGGTATTTCGCAGGTGCGACCTGATTGGTTGCAGGTGCGACCCCAAGCACCGCAAGTGCGAAACCTCCTTGCCCTAAACTCCTTGCACAGATGTGAACCTCCATTCGCAGGTGCGATCCACGAACTGCAGGTGTTGCTACACCAAAGAATCTAATTTTTTAACGTAGCTCAAAATGATCCAAAATGAACCCAAAACTCACCCCGAGCCCCCCATAACCCATTCCAATCATCCTAACATGTTCGTTTACCCTATATAAACTTGTCCAAGAGCTCGAAATACCACAAATAATATCAAAACAAATAATCAAGTATCAAACCAAAAATCTCAAATTCTCTTTAGTTTAAAATTTTAACTTTCGACTAGGAGCACTGAATCAACACAGGGCCACTCGAGACCCTAACCAAAAATACGTACAAGTCCAAAATCATCATACGACCATATTAGAACCTTTAAGACACCATTCCGGGATCGTTTACCCAAAATATTGAGTTTGGTCAACTCTTCCGACCTTAAACCTCAACTTAGGAAATAAGTGTTTCAAATTACTCCCGAACCTCTCGGAGAACACACCAACCTTTTAGCCAAAACCTGAACATCTATGACCAATGGTCTCTCCATTGCAGCTATAAATGCTAAGCTACCCATGCTCTCCGCCTTCCTACTCAAGGCATTAGCCACTACATTAGCTATCCCCAGATGATACAATATGGTGATATCATAGTCTATAAATAAATCCAACCATCTCCGCTGCCTCAAATTAAGAACCTTTTGCTTGAATAAATGCTAGAAACTTCGATGATCGGTGTAGGCCTCACATGGCACGTTGTATAAGTAATGCCTCCATATCTTGAGCACGTGAATAATGGCTACTAACTCCAAATTATGCACGAGGTAGTTCTTCTCAGATACCTTCAACTGACGATATGCGTAGGAAATCACTCTTCCATCCGCGCCAAGTCTAATACGTGATTCATCACCATACACAGCGTAAGACCTCGAACCAGTGGGCAACACCAACATTGGTGCTGTAGTCAAGGATGTCTTGACCTTTTAAAATCTCTCCTCACACTCATTGTACCATCTAAAAAGAGAGCATTTCTGAGTCAACTTGGTCAATGGGGCTGAGATAGATGAAAACCCCTCCATGAAATGGTGATAGTAGCCCACCAAACCTAAGAAGCTCCGAATCTTTATATCTGAGGTAGGTCTAGGCCAATTCTGAACTGCCTCTATCTTCTTGGGGTCTACCTTGATACCATCAGAAGATACAACATGACACAAGAAGGCAACTGAGTCAAACCAGAACTCACACTTTGAAAACTTGACATATAGCTGGCGATCCTTCAAAGGCTGAAGTACAATTCGTAGGTGCTACTCATGCTCCTCTCTACTACGAGAGCAAACCAGAATATCACCAATAAAGACAATCACAAAGGAATCCAAATAAGGCTTGAACACTCGGTTCATAAAATTCATGAATGTTGCTGGAGCATTAGTCAAACCAAATGACATCAACAAGAACTCATAATGACCATACCGAGTCCTAAAAGTTGTTTTAGGGACATCTGATGCCCTAATCTTCACCTGATGGTAGCCAGATCTCAAATCAATATTGGAAAACACCTTGGCACCCTGAATCTGATCAAATAGATCATCAATCCTAGGCAACAAATACTTGTTCTTAATGGTAACTTTGTTAAACTGCCGATAGTTAATGCACAACCTCATCGATCCTTCCTTCTTCTTAACAAACAACACTAGCGCACCCCAAGGTGAAACACTCGGTCTAATAAATCCCTTGTCAAGCAAGTCCTGCAACTGATCCTTCGATTTCTTCAATTCTGTTGGAGCCATACGGTATGGTGGAATAGAAATAGGCTGAGTGCCTGGAACCAAATCAATACAATAGTCAATATCTCTGTCGTTTGGCATACCCGACAAATGTGCAGGAAACACCTATGAAAACTCCCTCAGTTCACTGAATCCACCGAACAAACCTCCGCACTAGAATCTCAGATGTAAGCTAAATACGCTAGACACCCCTTGTCAACCATATGCCAAGCTATCAGATATGAAACCACCCTGCTAGTGGAACGCCCGAGGGTCCCTCTCCACTCTAATCTCGGCAACCCCGACATGGCTAAGGTCACAGTCTTGGCATGACAATCCAAGATAGCGTAATATGGGGAGAACTAATCCATACCAAGAATGAACTCAAAATAATATTCTACAACAAAAGATCAACTATAGTATCAAAATCATTAATAGTAACAACACAAGACCGACACACCCGGTCAACTCCTATGGAATCTCCAACCAGTGTAGACTGAGAAACAAAAATATCAAGAGAATCACGAGGCATACTCAAGTGCGATACAAAATATGAAGACACTTAAGAATACCTAGAACTCCGATCAAACAACACAGAAGTATCTCTGTGACAGACTGAGTTAATACCTGTAATAACTGCATCGGACGACTATGCCTTGGGCCTACCCCGAAATACATAAAAACGAGGCTAAGCCCCACCAACATGTCCTCCACTAGAGGACGACCTCTCACTGGCCGACCTCTACCTCTAACTGATTAGCCTCCACCCAGGGCTACCTGACTCCTTCCTCTAGCTGGCTGAACGGGTGGTGAAGCAACTGGTGCCAGAATAATGGCACGAGTACACGTATAAATGAAAGGTAAAAATGTATTTAGAATATAAATAAGGGTACTAATGATGAAGGTGACCGAAATTATTTGACACGTGCCATGGTTTTGGAAATGTACCTTATAGTCTTAACTTTTTGAAAATGATCATTTTTCGCAAGTTTCGTGTTATCTAGGACCTGGCCTT